TTCAAAACAAGTTATTAAAAGAAATTTTGAAAGCACCAAAATATGTTCCAAATTGGTTAATACACAAAGACACAGGCACTAGCACAGTTAAGGATGAAATAATCGCTTACTCACACAAATATAGAAATCGCCTAGCTGAACATCCAAACTTGCTCGCGAGAAAACTTCAGAACAACCCTACCAGGGCCCGATTAAAAAGAAAATTTCTTCTGCATTAATCAACAATAGATAAGACCTTCGACAATTCACTGGCAATGGTCAGATGATTTGTATTTTGCCAACGCCTTCAGTTTCATGTCAAAAATTTTACTTGTTGTCCGTTTCAGGACAGTTGTAAAAATTATTAAAATAATAAAAAAAAAAAAAAAAAAAAAAAATGTGCGCACCCAGAGTCGGTCCTGCCTTGCATGCGATCGGAAATGAAATTTATAATATATTTTTTTTTAATTGTTTATAATAAACAATCTAACTTAACTATGGATACGGAGACACAAAAAGCATATTCAATTTGCAATGTGATACAGTAGAAACAATTAACCGATTTTTAACCCTACAAGTTAGTAAATTATTGTTTTGCTTATTGTTAATTATACTTATTCCATTTTTTCTTCGTTTGAAGTTAACGTAAAATCGAAAAAAAATTATCTAGTGTTCATCCCCTAAGCGCAAACCTACGAAAGTTTAAATTAATTATTGGGCATTATTGATGAAAAATTGCGAGCTGATTTATTTGAAACGGTACTTATTAAAGAAATATATACTAATTATAATAGAAGAAATAAAAAATGGGGAGTCAGTGCTTAGAAAATGGTTTGTTTATTACGAGAAATTGAATTGTAACTTTTGTTTTTGTTGCAAATGTTCCGCATCTGTTGAACTTTGAATGTTGAAGATGTGCGTGGAACAAATATGAAAAATTTACTTTTGAACAAAAATCTTAAGGCTTGTTTATACCTAGTGGTGTCCATACTCTAAATTTAATAATTATTAACTACACAGAAATAATACATATCAAATAAAATAATTTTTTTTTTCAATATTGTACAAGAAATGTGTAATTTCTTTGCATTTTTTACTGATTTTTGAACAATACTTCTAAAATACGTTAAAAATTTAACTTTAAAACAATAAGATGATACGACACTAATAAATGTGTGCATCACGAGTGTTACCATATTACTAATAAACATTATACAAAATTTTTATATGGTGTATTTATTTTTACTCAACTTAAATTTGCTACAATATAATTGCAAATAAGTTTTACTTCAATCGCGTGTGATTCTTACGCGCACTCTTTTTTTTATATTTCGAAATATTTTTGAAATTTTTTGCAGCGCGATTGCTTTGAAAAAAGTTCATAATTTTCAAAAAATGTCAATGTACATATAAAAAACGTTTCTTAAAAGGCAATTTTTTCATTTTTCTAAAAATCTTGAAGCTCTTTATAAAATGTAATTTTTAGTACGAGAAGTTTCAGGAATTTGTAGTAATTAATGGAATAATGCCATGCGTCACTAGTTTAATTTTTTTAGGCGCTATAAGAAAAGTGCACAAATTTGTTGTCCTAAGAGGGCTCGAGATCTGAAGAACATATTTTTCTTTAACTTTCAGCTAGTTTTAAACTTTATATTAGCCAGATTGCCAAATTTGATAATAACTTATTAACCAATTTGATAATTTACGTTCGGAGAGGGAGGCAAAGCAAAGTAATAAGTTTTAATAATCGGCTATTTGAACCCAAATTTTGCATTGCAATTGCATTGTGTTTTGTTAATTATATTTCTTGGAATAAAAAATGTTATTAAAAAAAATTAGGTAATTACATTTTATAACATTTTTTTCTCACTATCCAAATTTTGCCGCCCCCGAAAATCTGCCGCCCTGGGCAGTAGCCCCGACTGCCCCTACTATAAATCCAGCACTGGAAATATATATGAAAAAATTATATGATTTGCACATGCATCCTGTGCTCACTTAAACTAAACAATAATCATAATATATTTAACGAATTTTTAACATTATTTACAAATTACATTCAAATCACCCAAAGCAAGTGGGTTAAAGTCGTGCAATTTTTTAATTTGCCCCCCTTGAAATTTAAAAATAGATTTTTCTGTGGGGCGTGTGCCCCACGTTGGGAATTACTAGTCTAGAAGTACAATTTTTTAATCTACTACCAGGTTAATTTAATCTACTATCAATAATTGAGTGATCATCAATCCCACAGCATCTTCATCAGTTTTTTAAAAGATCAATGTCTATGAATATGCATACAAATCTTAAATTGTAGGCCGAAATTTAGGCAATAAGTCTATTGAAATATCAGGGTAACTCTTTTGCTATAAATTGTCAACTAATTCACCAATAAATAAATGTCAATAAAACAATGATTAAAAAAAATTACCAATAAATGTTGGATTGTAAAAATTTACAAGCGATTGAACGGCTTATATTTTTGCCTTAGATGGCAAAAAATTCATCATATTATTAAAATATTACATTTTTTTGCAGTTCTTATGCTTTTGTATTTATAGAATTGCTTTTTTCACTACAATCAATTTCCATTATATGAATGTCTTATTTAATTATTTATTTTATTCGACTAACGCCCGCTATGTCCGAAACAAGCCCAACTTATATTCGAAATAATCGGGCATCAGACACTTTACGGTCTTAAAGTAACATATGTGAAATTTGAAATACACTACTGTATTGTAATTAATTTTTCAGTTCATACATCTTAATTTGTAACTAAATTAAAAACGACTTTGATAAAACCAGTGGTGTTGTGCTAATATTTTTACGATTAAAGTAAAACTTATTTGCTACTGTATAAAATAGCAAATTTAAGATGAGTAAAAATAAATACATCATATAAAAATTTGGAATAATGTTTATTAGTAATATGGTAACACTAGTGATGCACACATTTATTAGTGTCGTCAATCATTATACACATTTATATAATGATAAATTATAAATTATATATTTATGATTGCATTAAAAATATGTATAATATTTACAAACAATAATGTAATCAAAGTCGTACTTGAAATATGATATGATCGTTTTAAAGTAATTGCTGATTGTGTTAAACAATTGTGGATTATGCTAAACAACGCCTAAACAAATATTGTTTTTGCAAATTAACTCATCCTGTAACAATTGTGTTTGAAGAACTTCATGTAATTAAAATTAACATACATTCATTTACTGTTTGTATTTTTTTACTTTTTCGCTGACGATATAATCTCATTCCTTGAACAGCTGTAATATCCGTCTTGCCTAACAAATTGAAGCCATACTTTTATATTTGTTTTATTTATCGAGCCCTGCACATAGCTTGATCTATGAATCATTTGCTTTTTTATGTGAACGTTAATGCAATGATCATCATCAATATTACGAGGTAATAAATTAACCATATTATCAACGTCAACAGGCACATTTATAATTTGGCCAAATAATCCAAATTGTCCATTTGCATGTCGCAATCGTCTAATTTGCATGAAACACAACCTAGGTGAAATTAACCTTTCAAATACAGTATCTAGTTTAGGTAGATAATTTGGTATAGGTGGAAATACAAACCCGTTAAATTTACACAAAGTGGGAATTTTACCCGAATTTAATATCTTTCGACAAGTTTGACATCCAACCTGATTATTTAAATCAATATGCAAAAAACATTATTAAGAATTTGTTTTTGAGCATCATTTGATATTTCTAAGTCACTTTGAAGCCAAAGTCGATCACACACAAAACATACATAGCCAAAGCTATCATTTCTTACGCAGCGCAGATTTTTCCTTAGTTTCATTATTTATTTGCGATCATTTGCAAGCACTACAATTATTCATGGGGGACGGGATAAAATATTCTTCCGATCCTGACATTTTTATTAACTCACGAATTATACTGCTAACCCATGTCGCGCCTAAAGAAGTTTTACTTCAAAAAATGTTTAGAGACTACGAGCTAAATACAAAACTCAAGTGAAAGTCGACACATTTTGTTTTGTTTTTGACATATGATTTGACATTTGATGTATTTTTTGTTTTGCTCGCAGACTAGATCGAATAATTGCGATAGCTGCGCTTACTAGCGTCGTAGTCTTCAACTTCACGTTGGCGTTTTCGTTGCAATGATACGGATTTACACCCGTGTCGCGCCTAAAGAAGTTTTTACACCCAAGTCGCGCCTAAAGAAGTTTTACTTCAAAAAATTTTTTCGACGATTTTTATTATTATTTTTTTGACGGTAGATACTATAGTCTTCAACATAAACAAACATGGCGAGCAATGTTCCGCAACTTGTCGGTACATCAAAGGGAATTGTTCGTTCATGTTTGAACTCGTATGTGCAGTGTGGACGCTACCACGAATGTTGACAAACATTTTTCTTTTTTTATGTTAAAATGTGCATTAATGTATTAATTTATGTTGTGTTTATTGTAAGTTATTGCTGTTATTGACAAATTTTGAAAATTTGATGATTTTAAATAATTTTGCACTTTCCCGCCAGTTTAAATAATAAATCTGACGTTTCACGGTACATCCTCGAACAAAAAGATTCAAGCCCTCACAGCTTTGTGGCGTTTGTTTGGAATTATTCGCGTTCGTTCGTGTTCCTGTTCGTTCTTCTTTGTATTTTCTTGTTCGACATGTTCGTTCGTTAGGTGTGGGCGCACCTTTAGAAAACATCGGCTCACTAGCGCCGAATTCTCACCTACATGTCGATAACACGAATCACGGTTTGTGATGGAGGATTTTGCATTGATAGCAAGTAGCAAGTGTCAAATCGTTAATATCTTGATGGGTTCTCAATTATTTTATCACATTCAGAAAAGTTATTGATAAAACTTGACTATTATTTAGTACAACAAACTTTTTTTGTGAAAATATTAAAAATGTCGGAGGAGACATTACGTCTATGAATGATCAGGCAGTTAAAATTGAACTACCACCAGAATATTCACCAGAAGACATTAACTCGAAATGGAGGATGATTTTGATGATCCCGATGTTAGTGTTAAATCTGAATCGTGTGCTGAAGATGGTGATACGTGTTTAGAAAGATTTATGAATTCGAGGTGACAATTGAAGAAGAAGTCAAACAGGAGTTAGTTGAGACATCAACTTATGAATGTGACATTTGCAATAGATCATTCGCAAAAACACATCATTTAAAAGAACATATGGCCGATCATATTCATAACAATAGAAAAGAACGTCCTTTCAAATGCGAAATCTGTTACAAGACTTTTAATCAATTAAATACTCTGAAAATACACATACTCATACACAGTGGTGAGCCCCCTCACAAATGCAGTACGTGCAATAAGAGATTCACACAATTATCTAAAATGAAAGTCACATGCTTATTCACAGAGGTGAGCGACCCCATCGATGCAGTATATGCAATAAGACATTCACACTATCAGGTAATCTGAAAAAAAACACATGCTTATTCACAGTGGTGAGCGACCCCATCGATGCAATATATGCAAAAGGGCATTCATGCGAACAGCTGATCTAAAAAAACACATGCTTATCATAATGGAGTACGCCCCCCAGCATGCAATATATGCAAGAAGACATTTAGCGATTAAATTGTCTGAAAAGACACATGATGATACATAGTGGAGTACGTCCCATGAATGCAACATATGCAATAAGACATTCACAGTTTTAAGTAATCTGAAAATTCACAAGCTGATACACAGTGGAGTACGACCCCATGAATGCAATATATGCAAAAAGACATTTACACAATCAGGTCATCTAAAAAGTCACATGCTGATGCACAGTGAAGTAAGTCCCCATGAATGCAACATATGCAATAAGACATTCACAGAAAAAGGTAGTCTGAAACGTCACATGATCGTTCACACTGGAGTTCGCCAAAAAAAACATTCACAGAAAGAGGTCATATGAAAAAACATATGCTGATACATAAATGAGAGCCTTCCTATAAATGTGAAGTATGTAATAAGGAATTTACTTGAAGAGACACATGGCATTTCACAGTCAGAAGCGTGGTGAAGATCAATGAAACATAAGCATACACCTAAGTCTTGTTTTTACACGGAGATTGGTTCCAGAAGAATCGTGTTTGTAAAAAAAAAACGTGTAAAAAAAGACATTGATCTTATACAAAATGGGTGGTGATTTGTTCCTAATCTCTAAAACCTATTAAAATGGTGAAAAACAAGAATTTTAAGAACAAGAATTAAATTAGTGCTATCACATTGCTTTGACCAGTAAAAATTGTTTGTACGCGCTAAAAGGGAATTCACTTAATCTTTAAGCTAGTGTTTGCAAACTATCGATACTATCGATGGTTTCAGACTTTTTTCTTTCATAAATACTTTTTTGTGATATGAACATACTTCGCAAAAATTTAATTTGACAAAAAAAATTTAGGTACATAAAATTTCAAATCGTGCTAAATGGAATAAATTCGTGTAAAAAAATTAAAAATATTCAATTTTCAAACCGTGTTATATCAAAACCGTGTACAAAAAGACCGTGTAAAAACAGACTTAGGTGTATTTGTTCACTTAAATTCAAATATTGTGAAATTTTCTTGTATGTAATGATATGTATAAATAGTAGTAAATACTACATTACTTTTGTTTCATTACATGGACTGTAGAATAAAAGTAAAAGTTTAGGTATTTGTTTTATTTATTTTCAATACAGCAATGTGTAGTTATTGTTTCACGATTTTATAAAGAATTTTATTACCTTTTTATTGATATATAAAAATATATATATGTCTTCTAACAAAGTTTGAAGATATTGTGCAAAAATTGAAAAAATGTCCGTTGGTAGTAACATTATGTGGACTGTAAAATTAAAGCCAAAATTTGAGTATTTGTTTTATTGAAGTAAAACTTCTTTAGGCGCGACTAGGATATAAATACGTACAAATGCAACGGAAGTGTGTTCGTTCGCTCTTAATGAGATCATTTCTATACGGGTCGATTGTGATTAGTAGTCGTGTATGTAAAGAGATCTGTCGTTGTATGCGTACCGATATTAACAAGAAAATCGGCATAGATAAACATTTTAAAGTTACGTCGTAGTACAAATCTTGATTTAATGAACAATGCCTGAATCAGAAGAATATTTTATTCAGTCCCCCATAAATAATTATAATGAAAATAATAAAACAAATGCAGCATTTGCGCCTTGTGTTACTTAAGTTTATTGAAATAATTTCTATATTATTTGTAGTTTCTATAAATCATTGAAGTTATTGAAATGGAAAATATTTTTTAGGCAAAACAGATATTATAGCCGTGCCTGGGTATGTGGCCGCCTGCGTGCGAGCATTTTTGGCCGCCCTTGAGAATAACATAATAGAAAAATATCAAATATGTTCTCACATAAAAATCGATTCGTAACTTTTATGTTTTTTACGTTTCTAGTCATTCTGAATCATTTGAGACTAAATTTGAAAAAAAAGTGTGTATATGAGCCGATTTTTGACTTTTGCCAACGTTTTCTCTGAAAAACGGTTAAATAAATTTCAAAATTCATTTGATGTTACTAGGCCAAGCCGTTTCTAATCAACTTTCGTATACTTCTAATAACTTACGTATATAATTTTTCGTACACGTTTTAGCCAAAAAACCTGCATCGTTTTTAAACATTCAGAAACTATTTGAAAGATATCGTGGGAATCGTGCTGATTAGTTTTAAGAGATCGGTCGGATCGTTTCTTCGTATTTAATTGTTAAATATTGTTTACCGTTCCTGTTCTATTTATAGATCCTGTTCTTAATGAAGACACTTCATGTTTATTTCTTGTACAATAATATGTAATTTTTAAATCATCTATAAAAATAACTAACATGTTTAGAAAATTTGTACAAAATGGAATAATTTGCGATAGTTTTTCATATTGCAATGCATGCACTCATGGATTAATATATAAATTCATGCATCTTCCTTTAAGGAAGTTACACCAAGTTATACACTTATTAATGATTTGGAAACAAAGCTTTCAATAGCCGCTTTTTGATTCGATCTCGCTTTCAATACGGCTGATTTTGACTACGGTCGTCTTTTAACTTTAATTCAGTGGACTTTTAAAGCAACCGCTTTTTATTATGGCCGTTTTTTGTGTATGGCCGCCTTTGAATTTGATCTTTTTTTGATGTGGCCGCCCCAAAAGGCGCTGACCAGACGCGGCCCTGATTTGTACCAGAGTGGCGCTTAGCTGTGCTTAGCCTGGGTGATTTTTTTTAAATTTTCAATTAATTAAAATTAGAAACAAAATTTTTTTTTCCAAAAGCAATTGTTTTGTTTGAACAAGCAGAAAGTTCTTTGAATCATTTAAATCGGACGCTTAGTTCTCTCAAAAACTGCCATTTTTTTAACATTTAGCTCTGTATCTCCGAAACCGCTGAGCCTACCTTTGCCAAAAACTAATAACCACTTTTCCCCGTCATTGCGAATTGATTGCTTTTTGGATTATACAAATCCGTTCACAGAAAAACTCGATTTCTATTTTCTGCACTCTTTGCACTTTATCTCCGTAACTGCTGGACCTGCCTTTGCCAAAAACTAATCAGCACATCTCCTTATCAATAGGAATCGAATGTTTTTTGAATCATTCAAATTGGTTGATTCGTACGCCCGAAAACGTGGGTGAAAAATTGTATCCATACATACATACACACACACACACATCCATTTTTCTTAAGTATGCCAAAATGTTCAGAAACCTTCAAAACGTCGAAAAATGTAAAAATTTTCAATTCCGATTTTCGGCCCATTACAATAACTTACCCTACGGGAAGTTAATAATAACTTTAATTTACTTGTTGTTAATAATTTATAATCAAAATAAAAATTAAATTAAGTTAACTTCAGGTTTAAAGAGCCATATTTAAATATGTAAATCGCCAACAATAACTTATCGCGAACAATAAGTTTAACTTGCTGGAACTTCCCGTACCGTAACGAAATGTTCGAGGTATAATGAATGAATGTTTATGAATGAATTACTGAATGTTTTCAAATAGATTATTATAAATATTGTAACAATGTCTAATATTTATAAGAATTATATAAACTGAATTGCAGAGTTCAAATTATTTGTTTAAAGTATATTAGAACTATAGTCAGAATTTAAATTATTTTCGATATACCAAAAATTAAAAAAAACAAAATGAAACAATTTTTTTTTTCCAAAATCAATTATTTTGTTAAGACAAGCAGAAAGTTCTTTGAATCAATTAAATCGGACGCTTAGTTCTCTCAAAAACTGCCATTTTTTGTACATTTAGCTCCGTATCTTCGAAATTTGCGAAAAACTAATAACCACTTCTCCCAATCATTACTAATTGAATGTTTTTTAGATCATTCAAATCGGATGCTCCGTTCTCTCAAAAACTCGATTTCTATTTTCTGCACTCTTTATCTCCGCTCTTTATCTCCGTAACTGCTGGACCTGCCTTTGCCAAAAACTAATCAGCACATCTCCTTATCAATAGGAATCGAATGTTTTTTGAACCATTCAAATCGGTTGATCCGTACGCCCGAAAACGTGGGCGAAAAATTGTATCCATACATACATACACACACACATCCATTTTTTTTGAAGTATGCCAAAATGTTCAGAAACCTTCAAAACGTCGAGAAATGTAAAAATTTTCAATTCCGATTTTCGGCCCATTACAATAACTTACCCTACGGGAAGTTAAATATGTTTTTGAGACACTAAATTATAATTTAAATTATTATATATTACACTTGTTTTTGAGACATTATGTTATAAAATTGTAAATTGTAATTTATACCATTCGTATCTCGCGCCAAAATAATTTTCCCAATTTTGAAATCGTCATTGATTATCATGAAGTTAACGTCATACCAAAAGCACGATATTTAAATCGTTAAATTTTTTTTAACGTTATATTTTTTTTAAGTGATTATTATTAAGATTAACAACTTCAATCAATAGTAAAAGTACATTACATTATTAAATACAATATTAAATCAAATTTCCATTCAAATCTGGCGCCAAAACTATTCCCTCAATTTCACCTTGAAATGATTCATCTCCGTCGTTCGCGCTCGCTCGCTGTCAAGCGAAACAAACATCTGACACCATTCGCCGTATTTTCTTAACAAAAACAATATTTATACAAAATTTATGTTCAATAACACTGTGTAAACCCATAACTTATTCATAACTATGACAGCAAGTAGAAAAAGCAAGAGTTGTGCTAATTATACGATGAAGGTAATCTTAAATCCCAAATTAGATCAGCACGCCTACGTAGTAAGATATAGAATTTGTTGTTTATTTTTGTTTTGTTTTGCAGAAAGTAGCAGCCGATCATGGAAAGTTCCTAAATAGGATCACCAAAACGCTTTATTATGGAAAACTACCGAATACTGATCGTTTTAGTATACCCATGTCAGGTAGGTTATGTCAGGGACAAGTAGGTCAAGATAAAAGACACAGAAAGAGCCCAAGAGTCTTTTTGACAATTAACTGTTTAATTATATATTACTAGCTGACCCCGCAAATGTTTTGCTAAGTACGGTATATTCTAAACAATTTCTAGAGAATCAAAAATGTTAATACTTCAAGTGTATAAGGATGCGTTGTTTGAATGCTATATACAATGAGGTACTATAAACCCCATTAGTTCGTCTATATTTTGTCGATACAATCACACTGCAAGTTTTATACACTTTCTATACAAAACATGGTATAATCCAATTCAAGTCTTTTTGGTCTTTCGACTTATTGATTACGTTTCAAGTTTTTCAGATTCTTTTTGGATTCTGGATTTTGTGTATAGTTGTAAATCATACTACTGAGCTTATACAAAATTTTCAAATTTTTGCGAGGAGAGATAGAAAATGAATTAAGTATTTCTGCTTTCACCTGCTTTTTGAAAAGTTTCAAG